ACGCATATAACTGATTAGTTATCAAGGACATGAGTAATACTTTGTGTATGTTTTATTTTTATCACAGACATATGTTTTACACTGATTTATCTCTTAAATTTTTCGCTGACGTATAGGATCGATATTTACCACTCACATATGCTTGGTACACATCATTCATTGCTATAACAAATAATATATACAACTGTGAAAACGAGTTACGTGCAATGTTGCGATGTTGAGAATTGCGCGCTACCATTGGTCAGACATTCTGTTTTCGTTGTGCCTCCGTTGCTACATGTGTAATCTGGATGCACTGCATTCACTACAGAATTATTTTTTTTTACGCTTAAAGAGAGATAGAGCGTATGAGAGAGAATGGCAAAGACATGGGATATAGAGAAGCAAAGAGAGATACTATAAAACATAACCGATAATTCACGTGCAGCTCACACGAAGTCAAAATCGATTTCACAATATGTGGACCTCCACTCTTGCGCTGAAGTGGCCATCTTTGAGCGGTGTTCTCAAGTACAGAAAGCAGTGAGAGATACTGGGTTGAGAGAGTGTGAAATGAGTGAGTGAGAGAAAGAATAGAAGGGGTTCTAATGAGAAAGATAATATGAATGATAGTAAGAGAGAGAGAGAGAAAGAAAGAAAGAGAGAGAGAGAGAGAGAGAGAGAGAGAGAGAGAGAGAGAGAGGGAGGGAGAAAAAGAAATAGAGAGAGAAAAATAATCATTCTCATCCTTCTTCTTCTTCTTCTTCTTCTTCTTCTTCTTCTTCTTCTTCTTCTTCTTCTTCTTCTTCTTCTTCTTCTTCTTCTTCTTCTTCTTCTTCTGCTTCATTATCATCATAATCATCTTCTTCTTTTTCTTCATCCTCCTCCTCCTTCTCCTTTTCTTCATTCGCCCTTATAGGTGGGTGTAGACAAAGTGTCGTGGTTTACAGCTAGGCTACGATGTTTCGGACTAACATATCTGATTTAAACACTCTTAATTAATTGCTTTTCTTCAAATGAAATGCTTATTAAAAAGCTTCTAACTTCGAAAAACCTCATTAAATCACTTATGCTAAAGAGCATAAGCCATTTTTTAGAGACACTACATATACATTAGAATGTGTTCAAGATCAATGAATGCTGGCTACTAGAGTGTCCGGGCTTGCACCGAATGCCCAAAAGTTAAGTAATTTTGTGTTTTTATGTGGTTTTGTTTGATTTATATATGTGCTGATGAAGGCTCTAAAGCCGCAACGTTTACGCTTTGTTTGTGTTTGTAACACTGTAAAGCTCGCTGATCTACTTTTCGTTCCGTTTGATAATTTTCCAATTCTATCTGCACGAATCACTCCACTACTAGCTCTAGCTCCAGGAAGCCACTGCCAAAGTTCTTTACAATTTCTGTCCCTTATTTTTAGGAGATATTTTTAAACTTGTCTTTAACTCAGGTCTGCATGTTTCCTGTGTCTAATTAATACATTTCTACAATCGCATTGGCACATCAGACAAAGGGACATGCGTGTTTAAGAGAGAGAACGGGGAGCGAGAGAGGGGGAAGGGAAGGGAGAGAGAGAGACCCAAAAATAGAGATTACATATATATATATATGTGTGTGTGAGTTTATGTGAATTTATGTTTGTGTGTACATACACACATACATACACACACACACATCCACGCATCCACGCATGAACGCATGCTTTTGGAACGAGTGCTAAACACAGACTGATGTAACATGCGCACAATTCGGGACTTCCCCTCTCCTCGCCACTCGTTATGCGAAACGTCGCTTGTTAAGCGAGTCATTTTTTACAATTTATTTTGCTCGTTATGCGAATTACTCGTTATGAGAGGTACTCGTTAAGCGAGGTTCTACTGTATATACAACATTTGACGATTCAGCAAAACAGACTTGCACAGAGTGATAGTTACCTTGGACCGAGGGTACGGTGAATGTTTAAGTCAGTGGTGCAAGAGCTGATCAGCGAAAATTCACACCCAGGTGAGATCATAATATATATAGACTGGTCGGTAGTAGTGAGATATCAAAAGAGTGTGTGAGATTTCGTTGCAAAGATGAATGGACACTGCTTGAAAACATAGATCCTCGCGAAAACATCGCTATATCCGGTATGAGAATAAAGGTGAAGACGGTAACGGCAGTTTTCTAATGTCTTGATAACAGCACAGCCCGACATGTTGTGATTGTAACAGACTCATTAAGCTTGCTTCGGAAAATTGAAATAATCAAGTAACAGAAAGTATTGTGAACGGCACTCATAGAAAGAAGTAGAAAGATAGAAAAAACACACTAGACAACATTAAAATCGGACCCTATAGTTACCGTGCCGGAAAACTGAACCTGTCACCTCCAGACGGCGTCTGCGCCTCGCCATGAATACAAGTGCACTAAGATACATGGTCAACTCGGCACCCCAAAAAAAGGTGTCTCATTGGCCATGTCTATCGTACAGCTTGAAATCCACAACTATGGAATACGGACAGAATTCATTTCAACCCATTGAAATGGCACCATAGGTTACATAAATTTATATTAGCGAAGCAAATGTCGAATAACAATCACAGCAACAATTTACGAACACAGTAGACCTTATCTGGCCACAGAATGGCTTGCATCGCTTCCTAAGACCCAGTCAAGAGCATGTTAATGATTTTATGTGCAGCTTATTCACGTGTGCGAGATAACGTGCAGGTTGATAGATGGGCTGCTACTGTTCTTCTGGGCGGTGAACTGCTATAATGATAAAACAGATGTGGCGAGGCTCTATGAGATCAAATGGAGAGTGCAAAAGAGCAGATCGGGAATCCACATACCGAAAGACTAATTAAACAGGAGAAGAGTAGATATTCTGGAAGATATTTAGCGTTGAAAAAGAAACAGAGGCGGACTTTTTAATCAGGTTGCAGCTAGTACTATTAAAATGTCAGCTCTTTGTTTGCTACTGAAGAATGGGACGGAGCAAGTATGGGAATATACCAAGTGCACTGATGTCAGTTCTTGATTCATTTATTCATTCATCTGACTTCCTCCCGACTCACCTTTCCGTCTCTCATTTACTCTCTCCTTCCTTCGATTCTATCTTTATCTCTTGTTCTTCCTCTATAGCTTTTTGTCTATTTTTCTAATCACTTGCTCTTGTAGCTGATCTTCTGAGATTAGTACTTGTGATGGCTGCTTGCTTCTCGGGCATCTCATCTCGCAAGTGGTGATTTTGCGTATATGGGCTTTAGATAGTGTCTATCTTTGGCACTGGTAGCTTAATGTTGTAATGAATATGCTATTAATAATCTGTCCCTTTGCAGTCATAGTTATGCTTGGATGTCTTAATAATGGTGACAATTGGTATATAAGTACACTTGCTTTCTGACATCTGGTTTCTATTTCTCTGTCAATTCTACCATCTTCTGTGATCATACTTTCTAGATATTTAAACTCCCTAACTTGATTCCGAGCAGAACCATTTAGCTGTATGTGTAGTGGAGTAGGTGTTCTACTATCTTGCATTGTTTCGGTTTTGTTTGCATTGATCTTCATGTTGTATTTACTGCATGCTGAGTTTAACCTGTTAATGTGGTCTTGCAGTCTATCTTTTTCAGGCTAGAACAAGCACTTGTCGTCAGCCAATAGCAGTTCGTTTAATGTGGGTGAATCGATAACTTCTCCTGATGTGTGTACTTCCTCATGATTATAAAGGTCTATGTTGTCTGTATCAGAACTTGCTTCCTTAGATATTCTGTCTATATAGATGTTAAATAAAAGTGGGAAGAGCATACATCCCTGTCTCACACCTGTGTCGACTGTGAACATATCTGATATGCCTTCTTGTGTACTGCACTTTGGCTTGTGTGGTACATGGCTATGGTGATCTCTAGTAAATGTCCTTGTACCCCGTAGTTCTCAAAACAGACCATAGTTTGTTTCTATCCACCTTATCAAAAGTCTGTTCCTGATTTACAAACACAATATTCTGTTTGGTATTATACTCAATGGCTTTCTCACACACTTACCTGCATCTTAGGAGAAAATCTGACCCAGATTTACTTTTGACAACAATTCCATCTTTGGGAAAATCTGACCCCTTGAACTTGCGGAGTGGAGGAGCAACAGTGGAGCAGCGGTGGAGCATGTGGAGCAGCGGTGGAGCATGTAGAGCAACGGTGGAGCGATCCATAAGTTGGCTTTACAACCTGATATACTACTAACCCGTCCAGATTTTAAGTAACACAGGGGACATAGGTGTTTTAGAAAGGCGTAAGTGGGGCATGGCACACACAAAAGGTTGAAAACACTGTCCTAGACCCTCACACAAAAGGATTAAAAAACCCCACTCTATACACCGTTAAACCTAACAGTCGATTTAATGTCAGAAATGTCAACTCATAGAGAACTTTTTTTTTTAGGCTAACAAAAGAGGCAGGAGAATACAATCATATTTATTGATTGACACAGAACAAGAAAAAGGAAAGAAATGATATTAGAGAGAGATGAGATGGGAAAATAGAAGGTTGGGCGGCTGAAAACTACAGTCTCAATTATATGCTTTCTTTTTATTCTTATGTTGGATCCCTACTTAGCTGTTGTCCAGATTATCCTATGGTTAATTAAGTGATAACGGTTGCATGAATATGGGAACAGGAAAGGGGCGAGAGACAGAGAGAGGCTTAGGGGGGGGGGGGTTGGGCGGAGAATCAGAGGAAGAAAATCTGCTGAATGGAGGGAAACATGATTAGAGAAGGGGTGGGTTGTGAGTGAAGAGTGCATATGAGTGGGGGTTGTGTGAAAGGCACGGGCGCGCGCACACACACACACACATACACACACAGAGAGAGAGAGAGAGAGAGAGAGAGAAAGAGAGAGAGAGAGAGAGAGAGAGAGAGAGAGAGAGAGAGTCAATGATGATAAAAATTCACATATTTTCTTTTTGTCAATTCTATCTGAATAGCTTCGGGTATGTTCTGTTTCTTGTACGAGACAACAATCACATGAAAGTTCTACTTACGTCAATGTCATCCGTTAGCGGTTGGTTGAAATGTGCGCTGGCATACGCCGATCGTTTCGCCACCTTACGATGCTGAAAATGGTAGTAATCTGGCATAATCTGAAACGAGAATTGACAAATGGTCAAATGATGTTAGGTATACTTGCAATAGTAGTAGCCGTAGCACTAGCAGCAGCAGTAATAGTAGTAATTATAGCCGCAGAAGTATTTTGTAGCTGTAGTATTTTCTGTGGTGATTGTGGAGACAGCAGTAGTAGCAGTAGTTTCAGCGTTATCAGTATTAGTTCTTGCCATGGTGATTTAAGTAGATGTAATTTTTTAAGAATTAGTAGTAGAAGCTGTGATAGTCACAAAAATGTAATTAAAGCTGCCTACGAAGCAAGAGAAGTATTAGTTGTTATTGTTGTTCTTTTTATGTTTCTTTGTTGTTGTTGTTGTTGTTGTTGTTGTTGTTGTTGTTCTTCTTCTTCTTCTTCTTCTTCTTCTTCTTCTTCTTCTTCTTCTTCTTCTTCTTCTTCTTCTTCTTCTTCTTCTTCTTCTTCTTCTTCTTCTTCTTCTTATTCTTCTTCTTCTTCTATTTCTTCTTCTTCTTCTTCTTCTTCTTAATCTTTCTCCGCTTTATCCTTCTCTTCTTGTTCTTTAGGTTCTTTTTCTTCTTATCTTTTTATGATTTACTGTTCAGCTACCTTAGAGAAATAGATGGAGCTTCATGCCACCTTACCTCCTCCCAACTGTTTTGTTTAGGGGCGCGGGGAGGGGGAGGGGGTGGAGCTCAAGTACCTTAGCTCTAGGTTCTATTTCCCAGTCATTCTTGTACCCTAATTGCTGAGCGCTTACACATACACACGCATACATTGAAGTTCTTTAATGTACTAAGCTGACTTAACATCTAGTTTTCTTCTTCTGAAGCCAAACAGGCGGTACTTGTTGACCATGAACTAGACAAATACGCCAATAAAAGAAGGACAAGAGCCAACAACGACCTCGTTTACCGAGAAGTGGACAAATGTTCAATAGCAATGGACAGAGTCGGGAACGACCCCAACCAGGCGGCCTGTTGTACGTGACATGTTTCATCTTCCCAAGCTGACTTTGATATTGCTTCTTTGTATTAGCAGAATTTGCCTGTCTCGAAACGGAGTCCCTTGTACAAAGAGAATAGTTTCAGCAAATAATGGACTCCCGAGTGAGCGGAGATACCAATCAATGGGAAAATGGGCTGGTACTAACAATGACAGGGGTTTGCTCTCAGGACATTCGAGAGACAAACGTGATCTCCTCGTCCAGCAAGTAAGGGATTTACTTGATTTTGTCCTTGTTGTTCCACTTGTAGCCTTCGTAGAGAGGTATATACGCAATCATTTAGTGCGAGAACTTCGTGTCATTCATTATTATCACCCTCATTCGGTTGTACAGTTTACACGTCATATGAGTCTTACAGGGCTGTTGGGGTTGGTTCTGCAACGTCCTGTAAAGGATACGCAACTTTAACTCCTTTGATTGCAGGAGTCCTTTTTATAGCTCTTGGTGACGTGCAATACTAAGCTATTTTTTGTGGCACATACAAACTAGTCACAATTATAGCCTAAAGCTCCTCCTTCATGGATGCTAGTTGACCGTGACGATTTTTTAAGCAATGGACCAACAAGTAACGCAACGGTTCGCAATATTGATATGAATTCGGGGGTGGGGGGAGTGTTATCACTTTCTCCTAGCACTACTATAATAAGTACATTGTATTGAGTATCAGGACTTTATCCTAGCACTACTGTAATAAGTACATTGTATTGAGTATCAGGACTTTATCCTAGCACTACTATAAAAAGTACATTGTATTGAGTATCAGGACTTTATCCTAGCACTACTGTAATAAGTACATTGTATTGAGTATCAGGACTTTATCCTAGCAATACTGTAATAAGTACATTGTATTGAGTATCAGGACTTTATCCTAGCACTACTATAATAAGTACATTGTATTGAGTATCAGGACTTTATCCTAGCGATATTATAATAAGTACATTGTATTGAGTATCAGGACTTTATCCTAGCGATATTATAATAAGTACATTGTATTGAGTATCAGGACTTTCTCCTAGCAATACTGTAATAAGTACATTGTATTGAGTATCAGGACTTTATCCTAGGACTACTGTAATAAGTACATTGTATTGAGTATCAGGACTTTCTCCTAGCACTACTGTAATAAGTACATTGTATTGAGTATCAGGACTTTATCCTAGCGATATTATAATAAGTACATTGTATTGAGTATCAGGACTTTCTCCTAGCACTACTATAATAAGTACATTGTATTGAGTATCAGGACTTTCTCCTAGCACTACTATAATAAGTACATTGTATTGAGTATCAGGACTTTATCCTAGCACTACTCTAATAAGTACATTGTATTGAGTATCAGGACTTTCTCCTAGCACTACTATAATAAGTACATTGTATTGAGTATCAGGACTTTCTCCTAGCACTACTATAATAAGTACATTGTATTGAGCAGGACCGAAAAAAGGGTGGGGGGGGGGGGGGGGTTTGGAGTTGGCTGGTCAAAACTATATCCCTCAGGGTTCAAGGGTTGCAACCTCCAGCGGGAAAATCTGTTGTTCGTCCACCTTTGGACTTTGATCTTGTTTCAGAACTTAAATTTTGCATGTACATCCGTTTTACAGTTATTTTCTATTTTTATGCAGACTATTTGTTCCTTGTATCTCAGGCAGGTGCAGTCCGACTTTCAAGGGAAATTCCTTAATAGTCGAATTTTACGACATGCTTGTTACAGGTCAGTGGGTCTATCTCTCCCCCCCCCCCCCCCCTCTTCCCATTAAAGCCCGGGAACCAACTGGCGATCAACACCCACAGATGAGTTCGAGCGCACCTGGTTCCCGCCAGGCCGTCTGCTTTTAATTGAAGCCCCGGGTTAGCTGCGATGATGGCAGATTGGATCCTCCTGTCTGTGAAACCTGGCCCCATAGTTTCCGGCAGTTTCCTCCTGGATCTTTTATCGAGGCCCGCGCGTCAAAGTAATTACTCAACCCTCAAAGTCGAGGTCAGTATAGTTGGCATGAATTATGTGCGGCTTCACTTGGACAAAAGAGGGGGGAAATAAAGGGGGAGGGGGCGGGTGGACAAAAAACAAAAAGGAGACGAACAATGGGAAATGAACTGAGTGCGACATCTCTGACATGGAAAACTACATTGAAGATTGCACAGGACAGGAAAGCATGGGAAGTCCCCTCTGAAGCCTCACGTGCCACTAGGCATAAAGAGAACTTATGATGATGATGATGTGTGGTTTACTTTCACTAGATTAATTCTGTTCAAAATAACAGAGGCCATCTACATTCACACCAAAGTAATAAACAAGGTCTGCATTTGATCGAAGGTTTGAAAAAAAAAAAAAAACATAATGTCAATTCCACATATAACAAACAATATTTGTTGTTACTACAAAGCCCCACATTGACGGTTGTCGGGACCCTAATAGAAACTACCGACTAAACAGGGTTGCTAGGACTTTTACGGGGTGATTCTCATTCTAAGTGGCACTTTGTGTCACCAGATGTTAATCGCTCGTTGAAGGGTCCTGATAGGGTTGTGTGACGAGCTGGTCTGGACAGCTGTTTCTGTCCTCTTAAAAAGTGCTTTGTTTAGATAATATTATTACTAAAGTTCTAAACATTTTCCTATTGCTTTTAATTAGCATAATAGCTCTGGACTAATTAAGAAATTTCTTACCCCTTTCCTAATGCTTCATTGTAGCAAAATTATAATTAAAGAGTTGAAAGGTAATAAAGGCGGAGAGTAGTGCAAGGGGTAACAAAGAGTAACTTCCCCCTTGGTAGGACTTCCCATCTTCCATTCTTTCTTTCCAGGCTCAATTGGGGGAGTCAAGATTTTGTTTCTCCCAAATTGACACAGTTCAGTTAGTTCTGTTGTCTTGTTGCCTGAGTTTGAATTCCCTGCCAGGGGTGAGTTAAAAGAATAAGTTTAATTTGATGTATTGCCGCTTATTCCTCTGAATTAATTCCACAGGTTAAATTCTGAAATTTAATGCCCACATGGCTCAAAAACTATGATAAATTTTTTTATCCTCACTAACCACGTTTATGATCTAGTATGTACATGTATGCAAACATATGATCTATTGATGATTTAATTAATGTTTATTTGCTACTAGAAACGTGCATTGGTAGTTTCAATTATTATACTTATATTAATTAAGTGATAATTATGTCCTCATGTGAAATCTCGGCCAGTTCCTGTTTCCAGCTTAGACAATTAAAAATAGGAATGAAGTGTATATTCATTATACCTAATCCCTTCTAAGTTGATTTTACCTCATGGTGATATTAGCTTAATGAATCACTGTCTTGCTTTAATTTAGATTTAGTCCAGATAATTCTGAGACTAGTTTAAGAGCTTGGAAAGTGAATAACACAGTGGGCTGAATTTAATATTCACACTGTCAGAGAAGAAGAAGCAGAAAAGAGATGTATGGCCCATGCTTGTAATTATTATTGTTGTAAATATATTTCCCTATTACTAGGAATACATTTCAGTTCTACAGCAGGTGGCCTTACAATTGTAATAATTATATTTCAACCTTTACAACTTCTAAACTCTACTGACTAAGATGTTATCACACAGGTGGATTTAGATTTAAACTGGAGTGAGTGTTGTATATTTTATGTTAATACTGTGACACATGGAAAGCCCATTGTCATCTATGATTGTATTTTGACATCTATCCCATCACCCCAGTAAATTGATGGAGATATGTCAATCCCATTTATTTTCAAACAGTGCAAAGCACCTGTTATGAGTTTCTGGCCTTGGTAAACTCACTCCCTGTTTCTCATTCATTGTGATGTGAACCCATGTGGTTAAAATGAGAATATTGTGAAATATGACTGTGTATGTCTGTGTGTGTAAGCATGTTAACCCTTCAAAGGAGTACTAGTGTGCAGACATCAGAACAATTTACACTGAGGAATGTCCTTTCTTTTTGTGTGATGTAAACTCTTGTTCTTGAGAGTATTCATGAAACTGGTTTCCTAAATATTTCCCCATCAGGATTATGGACC